TTCTGGCACGGCATGACGACGGATGTCGTCGGGCACGTTCGCGCGTGTCCCGAGTGTGCCCGGCGGAAGCCGCCTAAACACCCATATGTGCCGCCGATACAGTCCATACAAGTGCCTTGAGTTAACGAGTTGGTGGCGTTGGATATTTTGGGACCCTTCTCGCCATCCGCTAAGGGTAATAAATACTTGCTAGTTGGGGTGGAGTATCTCTCCCGCTGGCCGATGGCCTGGCCCTTGCCCGACCAGTCGGCGGCGTCCATTACGGACGCCTTTCTATTTGGATATGTCATGGACAAAGGGGAGCCGGAGAGGCTGCTCACGGATCAGGGGGAGGTGTGTGCTGCTCTGGGGACCAAAAAGATCCGGACATCCCCCTACCACCCGCAGACGGATGGCATGGTGGAACGACTAAATCGGACGGTCAGCCATGCTGTGTCACACGGTTAATGAGAAGCAAGCTGACTGGGATTTGCACATCACTGGGGTACTCTCGGCATACCGGATGATGCCTCACGCGTCCACAGGATATTCTCCGTTTTTTCTCATGTACGGTCGCGAAAACGTGCCGCCAATGGATGTGCAGTTGGGAACGGGAATGAGAGGACCTACTAAGCCTCTCCCCAATTACATTCAGGACGCCGTTCGCCACGTCGCTGAGGCGAGGGAGGGGGCCAGGGTGGCTACTGCCAAAACCCAGGCCCGGAACGAACGTTGTGCGCGACGCTCGAAGGGGAAGTGCCCCTGGAAGGTGGGGGACATGGCTTGGCTGCATTGCCCGCAGGTACGAGCAGGAACCTCCCCTAAGTTGCATAAGCCATGGCAGGGGCCTGTTAGGCTCATTGAGGTTCCTAACCCGCAGTCCGCGCGCGTTCGGTTCGGATCTCGGCTCTGGTACGTCCATACGTCTCGCTTGAAACTATACGTGGCCCCTCGAACGGATGAGTCATCTCCTGATGTTGCCTTGCCGGTGTCTGTTGCTGCCGACGCACCCTTGCCTGTGCCTGTTGACCCTGCAAGAGCGCCTGTCGTGCCTTCTACAGACAAACTGGCCGTGACACAGCGGGAGGCAGCGGACTCTGCTCTGGGTGGGCCTACCACGGCTGCGGGGACACTTGACCCTGCCGCCCCTCCAACCCCACAACAGACACGGTTGCGGGACACCCCGGACTCTGGTCCTTCGGTGGAACGGGACCTTGGCGTTGGCGGGCCTCCAATAGCGACAGGCGGTTTTGATCCTGTCGCTCCTAAAACCCCGTCGCGTTCTCGGTCTGCAGGGGGGCCGCCGCTCGTCCGGGACGGGCCAGCAACCCGCACGCGTTCGAAATCCCTTTCTTTTCGTTGATTGTTGTTCTCGTTCTTGTTGTTATTGTTATATTCGTTGTATTCTCCGTTGTCCGTTCACGGCTGATGGTTGGTGGTCGCTCGCATTACTTGTTTTGTTTCAGCCGAGGACGGCTGGAATTTTCTCTACGGGGGAGAGTGGTGTAATGCGAGCGTAAACGGCCTCGCGGATGTGACGTAACAGGTGGGAGGAGTTAGGGTCACGTGGGGAGAGGGAGAGCTTTTAAGGGGAGGAACCGGAAGGGCTGGAGGAGAGTGTGGGAATAAAGATAGGAGGAGGCCACGCAGGGCAGGAGGTAGAAAGTGGCGTGATTGCCACAGGTCGGGACTCGGCACCGTTGGCCAGCGGTGTCCGGGCACGGAAAAGACGGAGAGCCAGCAGCGGGGCTGCATAGAGAGCAGCCGTGGGGCTGCAGGTCGGAGGCAGAGAGGCTGAGTGAAGAGCCAGCAGCGGGGCTGCATAGTGAGCCAGCAGCAAGTCTGCAGGGGCGACGGCAGCAGTGGGGCTGCCAAGCGGGAGACAGAGGAGACTCTGAGCGAGACGCCGTGCGGGCAAGGTTGTACGAACCACAATAAAGGACAACGGAGACAGACCCAGTGCAAGAGTCCTTTATTACATTATTATCAGAGTTGCTTCTTTTTGTTTGCTTTTTTGACTACTTGTGTTGTGGTTATTGCAAACATGATGCCTTGAATAAAGGTGTCAGTTTTGTACCAGTTTAAAAGGGTAAAAACCTATTACTATATTTTGCCACTGGTAAAAGAGATCTCATAGTGTAAATGCTTACCCCGAGCTCTCAATACTCTGATATTGCACTGTGTTTGAGTTGTACGCCTTCTGGTGTCATCTGGTCCAACACCAATGGGGACTAGGCTCTAAAGAAAGCCGTCTCGGGTGTGGACCAATCAACTTCAAGGACAGTGCATATTATTATCATTATCAGAGTTGCCAGTTTAAAAGGGTAAAAACCTACTACTATATTTTGCCACTGGCAAAAGAGATCTCAGTGTAAATGCTTACCCCGAGCTCTCAATACTCTGATATTGCACTGTGTTTGAGTTGTACGCCTTCTGGTGTCATCTGGTCCAACACCAATGGGGACTAGGCTCTAAAGAAAGCCGTCTCGGGTGTGGACCAATCAACTTCAAGGACAGTGCATATTATTATCATTATCAGAGTTGCCAGTTTAAAAGGGTAAAAACCTACTACTATATTTTGCCACTGGCAAAAGAGATCTCAGTGTAAATGCTTACCCCGAGCTCTCAATACTCTGATATTGCACTGTGTTTGAGTTTTACGCCTTCTGGTGTCATCTGGTCCAACACCAATGGGGACTAGGCTCTAAAGAAAGCCGTCTCGGGTGTGGACCAATCAACTTCAAGGACAATGCATATTATCATCATTATCAGTTGCTTCTTTTTGTTTGCTTTTTTGACTACTTGTGTTGTGGTTATTGCAAACATGATGCCTTGAATAAAGGCGTCAGTTTTGTACCAGTTTAAAAGGGTAAAAACCTACTACTATATTTTGCCACTGGCAAAAGAGAACTCAGTGTAAATGCTTACCCCGAGCTCTCAATACTCTGATATTGCACTGTGTTTGAGTTGTACGCCTTCTGGTGTCATCTGGTCCAACACCAATGGGGACTAGGCTCTAAAGAAAGCCGTCTCGGGTGTGGACCAATCAACTTCAAGGACAATGCATATTATTATCATTATCAGTTGCTTCTTTTTGTTTGCTTTTTTGACTACTTGTGTTGTGGTTATTGCAAACATGATGCCTTGAATAAAGGTGTCAGTTTTGTACCAGTTTAAAAGGGTAAAAACCTACTACTATATTTTGCCACTGGTAAAAGAGATCTCATATTGTAGACACAGCTTAGTTTATAGATGCCAGGATATTGCATATCAGGGATCCTATCCTTCACAGATGGGATCTACCAGTTTAAGTCATAACTGGCTGTGATGTTCTCATCCTGTCATCTTCCGATGTTCGTTTTATTTTCCCCGTGGCTTTTGCTCTCCGATTTTACTTTAACAGGTAAAAAAAAATGTCACACCAACACAGCCACCTCCGCGCGCCGACCTCGACGTGGTGGTGGCTCTGCGATCTTACATTACCATGCTAATCTCTCACATTAACACAGCCATCTCCGTGCCCTTGTCGTGGAGGCCGCTCTCCGATCTTACATTAACATGCTAATTTCTCAGATTAACATCACTAGCCCTGCCCACGTCGTTTATGACCCTTGGGCTATACCCCATTTTAAACCCTTAAAACAGTCTGCCTCAGCAGCTTTCCCCCTCTTTCTTCCTCCGGATTATGATCGCTTGTGTTGTGATCGAAACATCGTAGTTTTTTGTTTATTTAAATTTTATTTAAATTTTAACCTATCAATGTGACTTTACCGAAAGACTCAAAGAATATGAATTCCTGCAGTCACGAAAGCTTTAAGTCAAGATCTATGTACAATGTGGATAATGTGAAGATGAAGATGTTAGGAATACATGATCCCTGACCAAATAAATCTCTCCTATTGGAAACTACAAAAACGTGTTAAATCGTACGCAGGCTGACATGGATGTAATCAGATTGGATCATGTAAGGAGCTCAGATATCCTGCAATAATCTGGACAGTTGCATCGGTGAGCTCCTTCGCAACGGGTCTCTTTAAGGACTGCTACTTAAAAAAAAAATTATTTGGGACCACCATCTCATATTCACATGCATTGCGGCTTTTTAAATATTGAGTTCTTTTTCGATTTAAAGCTTTCGTGACTGCAAGGATTCATCTTCTTGGTTCTTTCGGTAAAGTCACATAGAATTGAAATAATAAAATAATAAAAATAAAACATTAAATAATTCTCACGACGTTTCGGCCACAATGCAAGCAGCCATCCTCAGGTGAAGAACAGGTCTGTCAGGTGAAGAACAGGTCTGTCGAGACGAGACAGAGTCGTCTCGACAGACCTGTTCTTCACCTGAGGACGGCTGCTTGCGTTGTGGCCGAAACGTCGTGATAATTATTTTATTATGTTTTCTTTTTATTATTTTATTATTTCCATTCTATGTGACTTTACCGAAAGAACCAAGAAGATTGAGTTATTTATTGAATTCGAATAAAATGGCTCTTGTTATTTTGGTTGCAGACCCCTGAGCGAGGTCATGTTGCCCACGTGCCCAGACACCACGTGCCCAGACACCATGTGCATCTTCTGTTGGAATGAGGGGCAAAACGGATGCAGCATGCGCTAGAGAAGAGATGGGATGATGTGGTACTGAAAGATTTGGAGCTGGTTGGACGTGTGATGACTGGTACCAGTGCGGTGTCAAGATTAGCCTCTGTGGAGGAGGTTCATGAAGGACAAAACTAAGGCGTTGGAGGCAGTCGCCCTCCAACGACAACGGAGGGCAGAGGACTGATGCTCACAACTAGAAAGCTGAATGCTGTGCAACTAAAATGGCATTACATATTTTAAATAATTAACATATTTTAAATAATTTTAATAATTAATTAAAATATGGTTAAAAACTATGCTATTCAAGCAGCGATGATGTCACATGAAAATGCACATGGATTCAGGGAAGCCAGAACAGAGAAGTTGCAAGACAGGGAGGTTATGATAATCATGTTGACCGCAACGTATGCCTGGATTACCTTGCAGTGAGGATCTCTTTTTGCGTGTTTGCTGGTAGTTGGCAGCCATAGCTTGTTAGATGTGTAGAACCCCTCTTGGCCGTTTCTGTTTATCTTCCTTCTGCACTAATAGAAAAGATAAACCATCAAAGTCAAAATGTACTTTATCTTTATAAATAAATGACACTGTAGAAAACATAAAACACATTCAATGATATGAAAATAGTAAGTTAAGCATCAAAGAGCATTCAATGAAATGCTATTAAAGACCATTTAATAAAAAGTTACTGATACAGTAAAGCTGTCAGGATATGACGATCCCAAGCTTTTCTGGTACGCTATGAAGACTCTTGATGACAAAACTGTTGACTATGGAGTACTGCCTAAGCTATCAATTGCTGGTAAATGCCTCTTACCTGATATGTCATAAATGGTCCAATTACTATTTTACCTCCGTAGGCCGTAACTTTAACTCGAACAAACCTTGCCCCACTCCTGATATGCAGCCTCCTGGCCTTCTGCATTTACCAACCTTGCATCAGGAATAAAAAGTCCTCCCCGATTCGGATGTGTTTAAACTCTTCTGCTGTCGGTGCAGATTAACTTCCAGCTATTGGCCTCCGTCTTGTGGCAAACAAAAGTTTGAAACCCATAGCCCTCAGAGAAAGACAGTTCCCCAAGAAAAGAAAACTGCTTTTGTTTGCCGTCTGCACAAATGGGATGCCAAGGTGCTGGCTGCGGGGTCCCCTTTCTGTCCTGCCTCCTTCCCCCCCCCCCCACTTCTTTCTCCCCCCCGACTGCCGAGTCCTATATAACATCGTGCCACGGCAGATCTCTCGCCTACTTCAGCAGTTTTTTCTTGCTGTGGTTGTCCCACCTGATGACGATAGCTTGTGTTGCGATCGAAACGTCGTGATATATTATTTTTCTAATCTGCTCTATCCCAAACAATCTGGCTTTCGCAAGAATTACAGCACTGCTTCGGTGGTGCTTCATACTCATTGTCTTCAGCGGTGTTCTTCCTACACCTCAGGTTTTTGGCACTGTCGATAATGACATCCTACACAGTTTATTAGAATGCCTAAACTTTTCCAACTTGACAATAAGTTGGGTCCAGTCACCTAACCGTTTTCAGCTTGTTCCTCTAAACAATTAATCTGATAAAACCTCAATCTGAAAGGGTTTTCCTCAAGGCTCTGTCCTGGGCCCCATTTTGTTCTCACTCAAAGTTAACTACATAGCTCAATCGCTAATCCACTTGGGTTATAAATCAATTTGCTGATAACAAGCCTCATCGTCTCTCGCAAATATCTGGATGATCTTTACTACAAATTTCAACAGGATTTTCAGTCCCTACAATAACAATTGGCCGCCCTTAGACCTGCCACAAATGCAAATACAATTTAATAGTTTTTTGAGTAAATAGTGTCTCTGGGCTTTCAGCAAATTGAACTCTTTGAAAATGTGCAATATCTGAGTGTTATCCTAGATTCCAAAATCTCTTTCCATGATCATATAGAACATGCTTCTAAGAAAAATTGGTTTCCTCTGCAAGATCTGAGATCTTTACACGATCCACATGGTTACATCCATACCAACCTGCCTATGATTATTGCCACATTTTTTGTATTTCCAAATGGAAGATATTTATTTGATCATTGGTTTTTTACCCTTCTATCTGGCAACAAAACTGACACCTTTTTTACAAGGAGTCATGTTTACATAGACCACAATACCTGCAGTCATAATGCAACAAAAAAAACACAACTCTGATAATGTGCACTGTCCTTGAAGTTGAGTGGACCAATCAAGTTCTAGGACAGTGCACATTATCAGAGTTATGTTTTTTGTTTGCATTATGACTGCAGGTATTGTGATCTATGTAAACATGACTCCTTGTAAAAAAGGTGTCAGTTTTGTTGCCAGATAGAAGGGTAAAGGGTAAAAAAACAATTATCATATTTTTTACTGGCAAATGAGGTTCCAATGGTGTAGATGCTTACCCCGAGCTCGCATACTCTGATGGTGCATTGTCTTTGAGTTGTGCGCCTTTTGGCCTCATCTGGTCCAACCCATGTGAGACTAGGCTCTAAGGAAAGCTGTCTCGGGTGTGGACCAATCAAGTTCAAGGACAGTGCACATTATCAGAGTTATGTTTTTTGTTTGCATTATGACTGCAGGTATTGTGGTCTATGTAAACATGACTCCTTGTAAAAAAGGTGTCAGTTTTGTTGCCAGATAGAAGGGTAAAAAAACAATTATATTTTTTACTGGCAAATGAGGTTCCAATGGTGATATTTATTTGGTCAGGGATCATATGTATTCTGAACATCATCATGTACACAATATCTACATATATAAATATAAACTCCAGACGTTCAAGTTTAAATTGTATTTCTTCTTCATAAACAGACATTGTATTACCCTCAGTTTTAGAATGGACATCGTCAAAGCTACAATTCTCCCTATTTTGACGGCTGTTTTGACATCTCCAGACTGGCCTCAGAGATTTCTGAAATGCATGGTCCCCCTGTAACATTCAGCCGTTCTTCGTTTTGCACTGATGCCCCTTACAGAACACACCACGGAACTCTAAACGCAAATCTAACGCCCCTTAATGGAGACAGTCATTGGGTATCATTCATCCTCAAAATACTCCAAAACAAATCAGTTAATTACCTCTGTAACCACCTTTCACTCCAGTCCCCATCACCTTGCCTTAGAATCCCCTCTCTATTTCACCTTCATGTACTAGATTGAAAACCAGCAATGGTGGGAAATCACCTCGCGGTGTCACCCCTCCAATTTGGAATGAACTCCCTTTGTGGTGTCGGATTAAATCCCTCTTTCCCTCCCTGGCATTTAATAATGTATCCCATGATTTCTTGCACGTGGTTAGCAAACCCCACGCGATTTGACGTTATATTTCCGTGTCACCTGCCAGTGTTATTTGGGTGGTACATGGCTTGAATGTTGTTTTCCCCAAATGTGTTTGCTACTCAGCGTCTGCAATGTTCTGATTTCTATGCTGCTATAGCTTCCTTTTTTCACCAAGGTCCTCTGTCATTCTTCGTACAACAGTTTAAGGCTGAAGGTGTCTTACCCGTGTAAACTAATAAAATCTATCGATTAATGTTATTATGAAAAAGCGGTCTGTCTGACGTCACAGCATGTGGGCTATTGAATATTTCTCTCGCAGTCAGGCCGAGACTCGTGACCTGACCTCCTGTCACCTCCGCAGCTGCTGAGGTGCACATCCCAGGATATGCATGCGTGCACACAAACATGCTGCGGGTGCTACATGTGGAGCATGGTTTGATCACTTATGTATGCATTCGCGATTGACATAACTCCACGAATTAAACACGAAATTAAGGATTGAAATGTAGGATTAACGATTGTTTTTAAGACATTTTTACATATCCTGACTCTTCATCAATCAGACGCATTGAGCTGGCTCTGAATCAACCAAAATCACGTCACGTATACAATCGCTCATCGAATGCGTTCAGAAATCTCATATTTTGAAGACTCAAGGCACGCCAGCAATCGAATATGTCACTGACCCTCGTGGTCACACAAAGACGCCTTGGGCTGGCGGCGCTGTAACATGGCGCTTGACCCAATTTGGAAGGTGGCCGAGGTTAAATGACTCGGAGTTCACTCAGCCCATCATCCTTTCAGGCGTCAGTAAAGAGAGTAATCACTTTCTGCAAAGTATTTATCTCACAGCACATAAAGGTAATATATACATGTTTATATGGCGTATATCAATGTAAACATATGCAATATACTCATGCCGTGCACTTGTTCTGTGTACGCTGCAGGCCTCACGTCTCGAGGACACTAACATCAACCGGTGTAGTAATTTTACGCGGGTATAGTGATGTTTTGGTGAGACGCGTGTCTAGAATATTGGGGTGGTATTTAATTTTATGGCCCTGGCAAGAGCGCCCAGTTGTGTAACGCGACTTTCACCAATGGCGTCATCCCTTTGCCCAAGGCGACCACAAGCAGTTATCATTGCCGCGTGGAGCAGATTTAATGTTGAATACGTCTCCATGTGTGTGTGGGTGATTGCGGGGTGAGTCTCGTCGTGAATGAGAGGCGAGTGGTGAGTCTCGTAGTGAATGAGTCTCGTAGTGAATTAGAGGCGAGTGAATGAGTGGCGAGTCTCGTAGTGAATGAGTGGTGAGTGAATGAGTGGTGAGTCTCGTAGTGAATGAGTCTCGTAGTGAATGAGTGGTGAGTGAATGAGTGGTGAGTCTCGTAGTGAATGAGTGGTGAGTGAATGAGTGGTGAGTCTCGTAGTGAATGAGTGGTGAGTCTCGTAGTGAATGAGTGGTGAGTCTCGTAGTGAATGAGTGGTGAGTGAATGAGTGGTGAGTCTCGTAGTGAATGAGTGGTGAGTCTCGTAGTGAATGAGTGGTGAGTGAATGAGTGGTGAGTCTCGTAGTGAATGAGTGGTGAGTCTCGTAGTGAATGAGTGGTAAGGGGTGAGTCTCGTAGTGAATGAGTGAATGAGTGGTGAGTCTCGTAGTGAATGAGTGGTGAGTCTCGTAGTGAATGAGTGGTGAGTCTCGTAGTGAATGAGTGGTGAGTGAATGAGTGGTGAGTCTCGTAGTGAATGAGTGGTGAGTCTCGTAGTGAATGAGTGGTGAGTCTCGTAGTGAATGAGTGGTAAGGGGTGAGTCTCGTAGTGAATGAGTGAATGAGTGGTGAGTCTCGTAGTGAATGAGTGGTGAGTCTCGTAGTGAATGAGTGGTGAGTCTCGTAGTGAATGAGTGGCGAGTGGCGAGTCTCGTAGTGAATGAGTGAATGAGTGGTGAATCTCGTAGTGAATGAGTGGTGAATCTCGTAGTGAATGAGTGGTAAGGGGTGAGTCTCGTAGTGAATGAGTGGCGAGTGGTGAGTCTCGTAGTGAATGAGTGGCGAGTCTCGTAGTGAATGAGTGGTGAGTCTCGTAGTGAATGAGTGGTAAGGGGTGAGTCTCGTAGTGAATGAGTGAATGAGTGGTGAGTCTCGTAGTGAATGAGTGGTAAGGGGTGAGTCTCGTAGTGAATGAGTGGCGAGTGGTGAGTCTCGTAGTGAAGGAGTGGTGAATCTCGTAGTGAATGAGTGGTAAGGGGTGAGTCTCGTAGTGAATGAGTGGTGAGTCTCGTAGTGAATGAGTGGTAAGGGGTGAGTCTCGTAGTGAATGAGTGGCGAGTGGTGAGTCTCGTAGTGAATGAGTGGTGAATCTCGTAGTGAATGAGTGGTAAGGGGTGAGTCTCGTAGTGAATGAGTGGTGAGTCTCGTAGTGAATGAGTGGTGAATCTCGTAGTGAATGAGTGGTAAGGGGTGAGTCTCGTAGTGAATGAGTGGCGAGTGGTGAGTCTCGTAGTGAATGAGTGGCGAGTCTCGTAGTGAATGAGTGGTGAGTCTCGTAGTGAATGAGTGGTAAGGGGTGAGTCTCGTAGTGAATGAGTGGTAAGGGGTGAGTCTCGTAGTGAATGAGTGGCGAGTGGTGAGTCTCGTAGTGAATGAGTGGTGAATCTCGTAGTGAATGAGTGGTAAGGGGTGAGTCTCGTAGTGAATGAGTGGTGAGTCTCGTAGTGAATGAGTGGTGAATCTCGTAGTGAATGAGTGGTAAGGGGTGAGTCTCGTAGTGAATGAGTGGCGAGTGGTGAGTCTCGTAGTGAATGAGTGGCGAGTCTCGTAGTGAATGAGTGGTGAGTCTCGTAGTGAATGAGTGAATGAGTGGTGAGTCTCGTAGTGAATGAGTGGTAAGGGGTGAGTCTCGTAGTGAATGAGTGGCGAGTGGTGAGTCTCGTAGTGAAGGAGTGGTGAATCTCGTAGTGAATGAGTGGTAAGGGGTGAGTCTCGTAGTGAATGAGTGGTGAGTCTCGTAGTGAATGAGTGGTAAGGGGTGAGTCTCGTAGTGAATGAGTGAATGAGTGGTGAGTCTCGTAGTGAATGAGTGGTAAGGGGTGAGTCTCGTAGTGAATGAGTGGCGAGTGGTGAGTCTCGTAGTGAATGAGTGGTGAATCTCGTAGTGAATGAGTGGTAAGGGGTGAGTCTCGTAGTGAATGAGTGGTGAGTCTCGTAGTGAATGAGTGGTAAGGGGTGAGTCTCGTAGTGAATGAGTGGCGAGCCTCGCCGATTAGCGAGGGACGAGGCTCGCTATGCGCTGTGGCAAGTGTCGCCGTGAGTGGTCGTGAGTATCGCTGAGCAGTGTGAGTGGTGAGCGTCGCTGGGTGGCTGGTGAGTGTGGCGGTGAGTCGTGAGTGGTGCGGGGAGCCTCTCCTCGCCTCTCCTCGCCTCTCCCGCTTCTCCTCACCGCGCCGCGCAGTTCGCCTCAGCAGCCCGGGCCCTGTTCGAGGCGTCCGCACGCAGCGCCGCCGAATTCTTGCGAGAGTGGCCGCGCGTCACGTGACGTGCGGAGGGGGAGGGCGAGCGCTTGCTGACGTCATCAGGGCGTATGAAGAGAGGCCGCCATCTTACCTCGGGAAGGAGGAGCGAAGTCCTCTCAATAACCGGCAGTCCCCGGGTTACGGAAGGGTTAGGTTCCACAGAAAATATTTGCATATTAATTAATTGTGAAACACGTACAAAAACTTAACAGGACCCTCCTGAATAAGAGTTCAGACTCAGCGAAGCTTTTTCGGGTAAACAAGCATCATAATAATAACTGAGGTATGCCAAGAACTAGGCATCCTGGAAGTTAGAGTATTGATGTATAGATATTGATGTAAAAATTCAGGGGTTTTCTTTTTTCCATTGAAGATATCCTGTGCTATTCTTTGATGATTTGACTCAGAGATAAATGCACGATGTGATTGCAATAACTAAAACCATAACATCTCACCCGGCCTCAGAGAGCACAACATTGATTCCCATATATGACATAAACATCTTTAAGAAATATTCATCCAGATAAACGTAACATATCTTTACTCCTTAAACGATAAAAAAATCGTAATTTAAGCAAGCTGCCATACTTTATGTACAGGCAGTTCCCGGGTTACGGAAGGGTTAGTTTCCCGAGAATGATCCGTAACCGGGATTTTCCGTATGTCGGAAACTTGACAATGTCCCCCCAAAATCAAGGTAAAATCAAGACAAAATCAAGGTAAAATCCCATAACCCAAAATAGTTGTGCCTCCCCTACCATTTTTCTCAGTACTCCATCGCGCTCTTGTCCGTTTTCTATGGCTACCTGTATCGTATCCGCTGTTCATATGCTCTGGACTTCATATGGTTAGGGGCCGTCCATAAATGACGTCACGCGATTTTGGACGATTTTTGACCCCCCCCCCCTTCGTCACTTCGTCACACGTCGTCACAAAAAATCAGACCCCCCCTCAAATATGACGTCACAAAGCTCTGCCCCCCCCCCAAATTTAAACATGCTTCAAATCGCTTTAAACTATTGTCATTGTAGTGCGTATTTAATGTGGTGCTGCACTCTGATGTTGTAGGAGAAAACATTTATTAAGTAGAACGTGTTGTCTATATTTATTTAAAGCTGGGCATTTTGATGTGACGTCACATTTATCCCCCCCCCCCCCTCGTCACACATCGTCACAAATGTCTGACCCCCCCCCCCAGGTGCGTGACGTCATTTATGGACGGCCCATTATTTCATTTGATCGAATATCTACCCTAACACTACCCATTATTAAACTAATGGAACTGTATCCAATAGATGATTTTAATATTGATTGTGAACAGAAAGCAGTCAATTCCGAATGTGAACACGCACACAAAGATAAAGGTGGAGTAGGCTCGTCTACACACACATACACACATACAAACACACACATACAAACACACACACATACACACACACATACAAAGTTTTCCCCCGTGTAGCCTTGAACAGACTGTTGGGGCAAGTGCTGTTAGCGAGCACCTACGAAGGCCTGAATAGTACACGAGGGGGTGGGTGGCAAGCGCTGCTCCGACCGCCTTTGTCGCCCGAGTGGCCACATTTACACACTGCACCAGGTACTCATTTGAGGCTGAGTCGACCTAGAGGAAGCCCAGGACCGGTTCAGATAATCGTCGCTGGTGTTGGCCGTGAGCGGGAATCGAACCTGTGTCACTGGGTTCGTAGCGCAGTGCGCTAACTATCGCTCCCCAAACAGGAAGAATCATCCACCTGGATTCCTCGCCATCACCACAACCTGCCTCGCCAAATAATTATCAATGGTAATACAAAAAAAACTACTTTGTTCTTTATAATGTTTTATTGTATTTGTTATTAAACATTTACCTCCCCCCCCCTCACATGTTCACTCGTCTTTTGAAATATTGAGTTTTTTTTATTGAATTCGAAACAAATGCCTCTTGTTATTTTGGTTACCGACCTCCGGGCTAGGTCATGTAGCCCACATGCCCAGACACCACATGCCCAGCATCTTCTGTTGGAATGCGCTAGAGAAGAGATGGGATGATGTGGTACTCGAGGATTTGGAGCTGGTTGGACGTGTCGCTGACTGGTACCAGTGCAGTGTCAAGATTGGCCTCTGTGGAGAAGGTTCGTGAAGGACAAAACTAAGCAGTTGGAGACAGTCGCCCTCCAACAACAATGGAGGGCAGATGACTAACGCTCGAAACAGAAATCTGAGTGCTGTGCAACTAACATGGTATTACATATTTTAGATAATTTAAAAAGGGTTCAAAATGATGCTATTCAAGCGGCGATGATGTCGCACAAAAAATGCACATGGATTCACGGAAAGCAGAACAGAGGAGTTGCTATAGATTCATATGAATCCCCATGAGACAGGGAGGTTATGATAATCATGTTGACCGCACAGCATGCCTGTGTAGGGTACTGTACATAGCAATTGTCATAGTGGGGTCAGTGGAGATGGGTGGAAACAGGTGCACGATACTGTACGAGGGAAGGTTCGAAAAGGGAAGTAGAAGACAGTCTGCTGGAAGAATCTACTTGGGGAAAGTACTGGAAGTTACCAGGGCGTGGCCGAGCGGGTATATAAGGGGAAGCGAGGACCGTGATCAGGACACTGGCTCGGGAACTGAAAGACGACTGCAGGTGGACGACATCAGGTGGAGACCCCACTGCAACAGCCCCGAAAAGCCCGCACATCTCCCTTATATCTCAACACGAGGCCATGCCCCCCTTTCTCGATCATTCTCACAGACTCTGGATGCTCCCTCTACCGGCAGACTCTCCCGTCCTCTTCTGTCAGCTGACCACGCTCCCTTCTCGAACATTCCTGTAGCCACTAGTCCCTTTGTAATCACAACTGATACCCCTGTCATTACCTCCCGTGGCCACTAGTGCACTCGTACCATAGGCTGACTTTCCTGTTATTACCTCCCGTGGCCACTAGTCCTCTCTTACACCACATGCAGGCTCTATTATCATTACATTACCCCCCCTTCTTAAAAATATAGCCGTCCCAACTAATACCAAGACTTAAAAAAATGCAACAATTAGGGCAGAATGGCAACCCACATTCACGTGGAAAAGAACCCATCACTCGACCATAGAAGCCAAAAAAAACACAACATGACGAGTGAGTGGTGCAAGCCACTTCACGAGAACAACAGCAACCGAACTGGAGTACACGCAAAAAAAATGCTTGACCTTAGGAGTTGACAGTCCACCTCGTGGCTTGAAGAGCCGCAATCGCAGCCCCAAAGCTCTCGGCCGCACGTGGCGGAGTCCTGTGGGCCTCTGAAAATCAGAGGGTCACATTCTGTGGGAGGTACAACACATCTCCTGGGTTGCACAACCATCCCGGATGACTACCCTGGCACGTTGGACACACCAGACCCCGGCCGCACAGGACATGGAGATCAGATGTCTGGGCGGGGATGGACGTATGGTTTGAGACGTGATGGTGGACAAACCAATTGCGACGCCCCATCTGTACTCACATGCACTAAAACCAATTAACTTCCACAATCTTGACCGGTCCCGACCATGGCGGTGCTACTTAGGCGATGTCCGCAGCGGCACCTGCGGACAATGCAGCCATGCTCTGTCACCTGATACTCGTCTGGACGTAACCTCCCATAGTACGATTACATCCTGCATTTGTTTCCTCGAAGCCGCACCCGGTTAAATGATATGGGGGGCCTGTGCTCCCACTCACACATCAAAGAGGAAAAAAATGAACTAGCACTCGACAACGCGTTCAACAAATCATCCACACTCGTACTCGGCATGCACCAGCCACCGCCTGTTTACATGTTCCTTCTCTACCGGACACATCCGATATGAGTTCTGGTGAACAGGGCTGTGTCTCCCGTATCAATATGGTGCAGCAATAGAGAAGTACGACCGATGTCGCACTTGCTGTTACCGAACACATCTGAATTTGCAGCAACAACGACTTCAATTCGCCCCCAACTTGATTTGAAGCTTTCATGACTGCAAGAATTCAAATCACCCCATTGTACCTTAGGCACGTTGCATCTGACCAGGCTCTCTCCTCCATCGCTTCCGCGATATCCGTCGCCACTGCCACGCAACACGCGGGATCCCACCTCCATCGCTTCCGCGATATCCATTGCCACCGTCTCGCAACACGCGGGCTCTCACCTGGGCCAACACAATACCCGCTGAGACCACAGCCATCCCTCCACTCACACTCAACACCTGCAGGAACGGCTCCCGGCCCCCTCCTAGGATCGTCTGTGCACCTGCCAGTGCAAGCTCACGGGCCACACTGTTGGACGACATCACAAGAACCGCCGCATCTGGGTCGGCCAAATGCAACCACTCACGGTACAGCAAGGGAACCAACATTTGTATTCCCGGCGGGATCTCTACGGACTCCCTTACCAAGGCCTGAATCGTGACGTTGCATCCGCCTCCCTTCCAACAGGATCCAAGAAAAATAACCGCTGCCCCGACAGCATTTCTTCACACTTCTGATCCGTCAATTTCTGAGGGCATTCTATTCGAAAAATCGATCTCCCACAAGCATGGAATAGCCCATGTTTTTTAAATGACAAGCCCTGTCACCACAATCCCCCCAATCCTTCGAAACCCGTCGCTCACCTGCGACCGACACAACCGACGCAACTGACGCAACCGACACAACCGATACAACTAACGCAACCAACACAACCCAAGCAACCAACACAACTGACGCAACTGACAAAGGATGCAAGGTGATAATGGAGCCTAGGGGACATGACCACCTAGATGTGTGAGGTCACGCTTCAGGCCAGGTGTCTATAGTGTCCTGACGTGCGTGCTGTCATTATGGAGTGGCCGTCGGTGTGAATACAGACGCTGACGACGCCACCGCTGTCCGGGTGTCGCTCCGACATCCCCGCGCGATGTGTCCCGGCCGACCGCACCTGAAGCAGGCAATGGTGGGCCCCTGCTGTGGAGCGGTCACCTCCCACCTTGGTCCCTAACCTTGAGGCCATCGCGAAGTCTCCCCCCA